GCTTTGTACTGGTGCATATTGCTGCTGACTTTATGGACTACCTGTCCTGATTTCACTTTGCTTATGGATGTGGATGCCACAAGGTTACAACTGGATGAAAATTCTTCACATCAAAGAATAGGATTGTCTCCTCAGAGCGCTGGGTTGATGTGAGTGGGCAATATATACAAAATTGGGGGATAAAGGCATGAAGTGGTTGACTTACAAACTTTCATAGGTGGAGGTATGTATTCATAGGATTATAGGACTAAGGTGTAGGTGTTACTTAACTGCAATTGTTAGGCATAGAATATTGCTGTATTCTTATAGAATATTATGTTTAAATCAGGCTTTGGAACATATTGAATTGTATGCATTTTAATTTTATCCTGTTAGGTAGAGATATGATTTCACAATTGTTTTGTTTAAAATTATATATGGCTAAAGAGTTGTGTAAAAGTTTCAAGCTGGGGTGGGCTGTGGTAGTTATATAATCTTTTGTCAACTTGCAAAGGGGTGGAGTTTAGCCTGTCAACCAGGTCGCAGCTTGATGACCTCATTTAGAGGTGCTATAGAAATAAATAGCTCACTGGAGGCCAGACCCACACTGTCGCTGCTTCGTCTTCCTGTTGACAAGACACATGTTGCTACGCTGATAGAACCAGAGCCCTTGAGCTGGATAGCCATGTGGAGACCCACACCAGCACTGAGATGCTTCCACTACCACTGAATCCACAAGACTTTCCACCCACTGACCTATGATCTTCCTGAATTCAGTATCATTGCATGGTTTTGTGAGTCTAAAGAGGAATTTGTGGATACTAATCGATATATGGGGTAATAGCGGACTTACAGACTTGATTTGGACTGGGTTAGGATGTTTTAATGTAAAATTGCTCTTTAATATAAAGTTCTCTCGTATACACACGAGTGTCTCTGGATTTGTTTTCTCTATTCAACCTGGACTAACACAGGCTGCATAGAACAAGTTTAGTGGTTCAAACCTGCCAGCCACTCCAAAGGAGTCAAAGAGGCTGTCTGCTATTGCTAAGGTTTACTGTCTCAGAAATCCTATATTGGGTTGTTATGAGTAAAAACTGACTCAATGACACACAGTGCGTTTGGTTAGGGTTGTTCCCTCAATTCAAAGACATTTAAAACATTACATTCGTTACTTTCCTTCATTAGCCGATAAACTGCTTGATGGTAGATAATGCATATTTTAAATTTGGTTTTAAAGGTGAGCGTAGTGACAGGAGTCCAGGAACACACTAAGTTCAGACATTCAGGCAGTTTGTTATGGGGAAGCCAGTCAGCAGGTACCTGATCTCAGGCACCAAGGTTGGAAGCTAGCTTTGTTTCTCAAAGTGGTTTCATAGTCATCTGCTTCAGAATAAGCTGGGTTGCTTGTAAATGCAAACTCTGAGGCCTAAGCCTGCATTTACTAAACCTCTCTAGTTTTGCTGTCAGGGTTAGCCCACTTCATAAACATGATTTTGGTAGATTCTTGAATAGAAGTAGAACTGGGATGGGGATCACCTCTTCTCTGAAGGTTGGGTAGAATTTGCCAGTGCAACATTTGGCCTGGACCCTTTTGGGGGAGTTTTCAATGACTTGACCAACCTGTTCTCTTGTTATGGATCTGTTCAGACTTTCTACTTCAGTCTGAGTTAATGCTACTTCTGATAGAGACTTGGGCCTTAGTGCAGCATGTGCTGAGTTAGAGAGAGAAAAAGAAGTTTATTACAAGTTGACATCAGCGGGGTGTCTGATAGCAATGCTGGCTGCCTTCATGGAATCCAAAGTCTGAACACATAGAGATGAGATGCTTTTTACTTTGGAATTCACATCCGGGGAGAGTCGTGTACTTTCCCAGACATTCAGGTTTCAGGATAATCATGGGGTGCAAACAGACAGAGACCTAGGTTCTACATGTCCTAGGACAGTCTCAGGATGTCTCTGTGGACTAACAAGATAGCAGACATGAGCTGTTAATAGGTGAGGTGAAATAAGAATTCTGAGTTATATGGACATCCACATCTAACGTTATAAAAATGCCAGCACCTGAGGTGGGGGACCAGAAACTATGGCATGGGTTAGGCATAATTAAGGCTAACTACAGGAAGAGAAAATATGGCAAGGGTTAGGCTAACTACAGTGTTAATAGTTTAGATAGGTAGTGTTTGTAGACATTTTTCCATTTCTTCCAGGCTTTCAAATTTGTTGAGTCCAGTTCTTCATATATTCCTATGATTGTTTAACATTTGTTAATTGTGTTGTGAGCTTGCCTATTTCAGTTCCTATTCCTGCTATTTGCATCCACTCCTATTCCCTGCTTAGATTTGCCAGTGGTTTGTTGAATTTATTCTTTTCAAAGATCTTCTATTCTTGTTTCTTACACCTGACTCTCTTGGAATGGATTTTAGAAATCTGTATTTCAAACAGGTTTCTGAAGCAATTTTTATGTTAATGAATTTGAACTACCATTTTGGAGGCTGGAGGCACTGGGAAAATCAAGGAATAGACCAAGTTCTAGGGCAAGTCTCATAACTTTGGCACCATTGGCATTTTTGGCCAGATCACTTAGCACCATCCCTAGCTTCTACCCACCAGGTGCCAGTAGCAATCTCTTTCCCTGGTTGTGAAGAGCAAAACTGTTCCCAGATATTGTCAAATGTCCTCTGGAAGGCAACACATCCCCAGGTGGAGAACTACTGCCTGAGAACAACGTGGTAAGCATGGTCCCTATTCCAACATTCAGAACTCAAATGGGGCTTCATTTCCAGCAAAAGTACCCTTTTTACCCTCCCTGCAAACATAGTCACCTTGCTTATAAAACAGCCAACTGGTAAAACGTTAATTCTAGGTTTGGTGACAAATGGGATACAAATGCAGAGAACTACAGAGCTTGGCAAGATAGGCCAGGCCTCAATCCTGGCCACGCATTGAGATCCCTTTGTGTTTTTAAACTAATAGAGATGCCTGAGCCCGTCATTAGAATTTCAGTGGTGACATCCATACCTCTGTATTTCAAAGATGATTCTGATATGCAATAGGAACCCTGGATGAAACATGGAATACTGTATCCATGAGAGGTAGGCTAGGGCTAAAACTGTCTCAGCCTGGCATACCCTCGGAAGTAGTGTTTGAGTCTCTTTAATAGCTCCTATTCCATCATCCCAGAAGTGTAGATGAAAGCATTACACAAACATCCATTATGAACTTTCCTGATTAGGGCATTCCTCCAATTTTAACTATTTTTTTAGTTTCGTTTTCAATTTTAACTCTTATTCATCCTTCAAAGGCGCCGTCAGTGTTTCAAAACCATTAGCTGCTCGGAGGGCACAAGAAGAGGCTGCAACACTTTATTCTTGCAAACCATAAGGAGCCATTCTACTGTGTCCCATTGGGTCACTATCAGCTGGAGTATCTTAGAACATTGGGTCTGGTTGGTTTTTGGTATCCTCCATTCAGTTTACTTGTTCTTTGTTGATGTTTCTAGTTTCGATCTATAGCTTAATGCTTGATTTCTTTCTCTCAATGCAGTCCTCCCTCCCGCACTGGATATTTTTTGGCTTGCCTTTGATTTGGCCAGTATTTATGAGCAAGAATCATGAAATCTTAGTTGATGGATTGGATTGTGAGTTTCTAACTTCCTTTTAAAGGTACTGATTAAGCATCTACTACCTAATTAATTTACGACTGCAAATCAATTAAGACAGTCCATAAACCAGAGAGGAAACCTGTCTCACTGTAGCACACTCATAATTTATGAATGCAAATCCGGAAAAGGAAAAATCTGTGATACTTTTAAGTGTGTGCCCTAGTTTCATTTCCACGTGAAACACTGCAGTTAATTCCAAACAACATTCTTGTGGAATCCTGATCAATTGTATTTAAATGAGCTATTGGTTCAATAACAATATTGAATTCTTTTAAAAAAAATTGTTTTATTAGGGGCCCATACAACTCTTATCACAATCCATACATACATCAATTGTGTAACGCACATTTGTACATTCACTGCCCTCATCATTCTCAGTTTTCCCCTCCCTCCCTGCTCCCCCCTCCCTCGAGGCTTTGATAATTTATAAATTATTTTGTCATATCTTGCCCTGTCTGACATCTCCCTTCACCCACTTTTCGGTTGGCCGTCCCTCAGGGGAGAGGTCACATGTAGATCCTTATAATAGGTTCCCTCTTTCCAGCCCACTCTCTCTCTACCCTCCCAGTATCGCCACTCACACCACTGGTCCTGAAGGGATCATCCGCCCTGGATTCCCTC